CAAAATCAAATTTCTCATATCAAAAAACTCTCAAACACCAATTTACATCAAAATATTCACGTTACTTCAGACATTATTTGGAAAAAATCGAAATAAAATTAAAACTTCTACCCTCCGAAACTAAGTATTTTAGGACATACATTTATACGAACTATTTCACTTATTTTTATCTGCAGAATATGCTGCCGAAGTTTCCGGAATATAGTTCGGACCACCCGGTATAGTATAATAGTTTAGATTATAAGTTATTCTATTTATACTGTTTTTGGTTTGTTTTTGCACCCCGAGCTAAGATATTTCCCATGCACGGTCGAAAAATGTTAGTACACTTAACAAGGCCCTTATTCTCACACTGAACCACCAACATCGACACGAATGGACAGTAAACGATTGTATTTAGATTACTTTTAAACTGAAATTATTTACAGCCTAAATCGATTCCATTAAATACATACACGTGTTATATCATATAATTCTCAGATTAAATAAATAAGGAAAATCTTTAGCACAGAAAGTTAAATAACGAGAAAACATTTACTTTACCTTTAATAACATTCTTTGTCGCCAAAACTTACTAAGCAAAATAACATCAATGCGTCTCGAATGGTCTAAATCATAGACAAACAGAAAAATTAAAAGACTGCCAGAAAATATACGACGCGCAGGCAAATGTTCCTGTAGCGCATCAACGCAAGTGCCGAAATACGTCCATCTAGCTATCTGTGTTTCGACACTAGTCCGTTAGTCTTAGCATATTCAGAAAGAACACGCTAACCTCCAGCGTTGCCAATTTGTGAGGAATTCCCCAAATTTTGGGGAATCCGGGGCCGATTGGGAATTTTGTGGGGATTAGCAATAGGCGGCGAAAATAAGAGGAGTTTCAACATTTTATTGCTGATTGAAAATGGCGTAAAATTTTTAGCTTTAAAAACGAAGCGGGACGATATATCTTTCCCAACTTAGAAAGTTATTGTTTTTGTTAATTAGTGTTAAATAAATAGTGTTTAAATAAATTGTGACTTTCTATCCACACGGAACCGACGAAAAACGTAACAATAACAACAAATCCTCTCTGTTCGTCGTCTGATTTCCCTCTCCCAAGTTTGCGAATAGGTACTATTTTAAAAATCAATAATTTTATTTATGTATACAGAGTGTCTTAAAACTGAATATTTTAAATTTAAAGACATACATATATGTCTATTTTTAAATAGGCGGTTCATCTCAATAGAGTCAAAAAATTGGTCAAGTGCGAGTCGGACTTGCGCACGAAGGGTTCCGTACCATTCATTATCTATACAATCTATTAATTAATTACTATTATCTATACTATATTATTATAAACTTTTTTTCCGATTTAGCTGAAATTTTGAATGCGCGTATAAGTAATTAAAAAAAAATGAAGAAACACATTACTAAAAATTGTATTAATCAATAATAAATATGTAAAAAGTAAAAATATATATGTAAAAACTTAAAAAAACGATTAAATAAAAGTCGCCTTGACTAGGATTCGAACCTGCCTTACTACGGCTCCAACGTCATAGCAGCGTAAAGTCCTAACGCTTTAACCACGCGGCCACCGAGTACTTGAAAGATTCTATGTAAAATTCTTACTTAAAAGATAGTGTTTAGTGAAAGTACTTTTTTATTTATAAACGTTTATTTAATTCTGTTTTTAGTATTTGTTCTTATAGCGGCAACATAGATACACTATCTGTGAAAATTTCAACTGTCTAGCTATAACGGTTCATAAGAGATAGAACCACAGATTAGGTATCCTATAAGTATACAGATAAAAATCTTGTCCCTAATTCGTGGTACGAAAATTGTTTTTTATGACGATGTGCAAACGAGTCAAATTTCCTGTGCGCGAAAATAAACTCGCGTAAAATAACAATAAACAGCGTAATAGAGAGATATCGCTAAACCGAATAGCGTGCATGGACGTTAATAAGGCCAGGTGTTATTTCCTTTATGTAAGGTGGTATTAAATCTCTTCGTTTAAGCTACACGCACACTGGTGCGATTACGGCGGCAATAAAGTGTTTGTACACTTAAATTCCTGATCGTGATCGTGATCGCGGCCGTTATCGCGCCAGTGTGCGTACAGCTTTATAGTTATCAGATCGGAAAGAATTCTGATCGCGTCGCGTCCGCTATTTAAACTTAACCTAACTTTGAATTTAAAACTTTAAAATTGTTTTGTTTACTAGGTATTTTAGAACTAAAGTGGTTATTTCCAGTGCTTTATTGTTCAACGTCTGCCAATGGGTTTAGCACAACAAGCAACAAATTCTCTTAGAAGGCCTAAGTCGTCATCTGCTGTAAACCTAAGACTCTTTATAGGTTCTTTAGTATTGGAAGAGGTGGAATCTATATTTTGGGCCATATTTATTTAATTAAAACTAATCCCAGTTACTTAAATATCAAATTACCTAATAAAACTAAAGCAATAATTCAAAACAATTCAAACATAACCTAAAATAAAAAATCTCACCGGCCGGCTCCGGTTGTCAAATACCCGCACATGCCCATTTAAGCAATTTTTAAACGTTATCAAAGGTTATTTAGAAAGAGCGCTTGGTGTAATTGATCCGCAAATTACGTCAGGCGGTAACGTTATTAGCGGGTGTTATTAGCGCATATCGTAACCATGATAAGGTACGCGTAAATACTGGATGACGCTATTCGGTTTTCCGATATCTCTCTAATAATTGTGCCATTTCGCACGGCGCTGTGCACAATTTTAGAGGCCATAAGTGGGCGTGCTCTATGTGCGCAAACTAGTCACCTAACTAGTACGCGATTCCGAAAATTGGAACCACGAAAAACAATAAAGAAAAAACAAAGATTATAATCTGTATAATCTGTGATAGAACTTTGTGACGGACGGACGGACGGACGGACGGACAGCGAAGTCTTAGTCCGCGGCTACATTGGACGCGGGTCCGTGCGTTTTTTTAAACGTGCGAGCTCTGACGGAATTTACTCGCACGACTATTTTATTTTAGTGGTTACATTAGATGCGCGTTCATGGTGTCCTCTGTGTCGAGTTTGTCAAAACGGACGCCACTACTTTGATGCTGTCTGAGGATTTAATGTTAAAATAACTACTTATGAACAGAAGAAAATGTTAGGTAGATTATTTATATGCGAGAAAAGGCGAAGAAAATGAATATGTAAAATATTTGGTGAATTAAAGCAGCAACCGGTCAAATTTTTTGAATATTTTACAATGTTTCCAGCAACATCAATATATCTAAAATAAAAATAAACCTGGTATTCAAAAATATTCAAATTTTTCGGGAATGTATTGGGTCTAGAAATATAAAAATTCCAACGCTCGGACGTGCACGTATTAAAAAAACAAACCAGTTTGTTTTCATCCGACCAACGGAAATCGACGTACGTGCACGGACGCGCAAACTCCGATGCAATGTAACCGCCTGCGTAGATACCATTTGTTTGTTTTTTGCTGCGTGCACGTCCGAGCACGTACGACTAAAAAAACGCACGGACACGCATCCAATGTAACCACGGGCTTAGTAATAGGGTTCCCGTTTTTACCCTTTGGGTACAGAACCCTAAAAATCAAAATATAATTTCGAATATTTTTTTCGCTTTTTTTCGAAATACATATTCCAAATTTATAAACTTTTAAGGTGGCATTTTGATCAGCATCAAATTGGGCTATTTACCTGTATTAACCGACATCGTATCTCTTCTAATTTCCAAAATTCTAATGATGAGGCTCAAATTTCGAACATCCTAGACTAGATTTTTATTTTCGTTAAATCACACATTTAATAGACTTTCCATCTCTCCAATATACAACTCACTGCATTCACAAAGTACCTGATAAACAAAAAAAACTTTTAATAAATAAAATAAACAAAAAAACTTATAATAAATAAAATAAACGAATCTTAAATCAGCAAGCTATAAATAAGTCACAACGATAATATTGACATAGCTTGTCAAATTTATTCTTGCAATGTTTATTCTATAAATTCAACATCCGGATTTCCTCGACAGAAGTTTAAGTCAAAACGCTTCAAAACTTTTTGCTAAATATGAATTTCAGATCATGCACGGGTTAAAATCCGAAAAGCAAAGAGTAAATTTATTCGAAAAGCCCGATTATAAGCGGACCCTTTCAGACTTCCTACCGTCCCATCATCCGTTGTTTTGTCCCTATTAAAATCAGTTAAACAAACTAGAAGGGGCTTCAATTACGGGTTAGTAGATAAATCTAAAGTTCTCCATTCCGGACTTGTTACATATTATAAATTAGGTACTTTATAACAGGAACGTTATGAGATTGATTCGATTTTATGAGATAGTTATTTAGATAATGGTTAAAATTGGGTAAAATTACTATTATACAGGGTGAGTCTTAAATAAGTGCAAATATTTACAGGGCTGGTAAATCTAGATAAAAGAAACACATTTTCTCTTTACCGTTTTACAAATACACCCAGGTTTCGCTTCCATATAACATGGTGGAGATTATTATAGCTCGGTTACTGAAGTTTCGTTTTTGTACTCAAGTCATGATTGTAGAAGACTCTGCCTTAATTTCCAGAATGCTCTTGAGGCGCTGTTAATCCTGTCCTGAATTTCAGAGTCGATATTGGCTTTTTCTGAAATCAAAAACCTCCTTCAAAAATTGCCATCCTATTCGATAGTCAAGCAGCACTAAACGCGATCAACTCAGTAGCGATCAATTCGAAGTTGGTCAAAGAATGCCTAGAGAAGCTCAACAAATTAGGTAAAGAAAATAAAGTCCTCCTACTCTGCGTGCCTGCTCACCAAGGAATAGAAGGCAATGAAAAATCAAATGATCCAGCTAGAAAAGGAGCAAATACTCCACTAACTGGACCAGAACCGTTCTGTTTTCCAAGCGGGAACCAACTGAAAGCGGAACTGAAGAATCTAGATGACTCCATCCCATAGAGAAAGTTAATAGTTTAGAGAGTGGTGAATCGCGTGGTAAAATGTTGGGAGATTGCGCTTTTAGCGCCCTCTACTTGGCTACAGGTACGAACTATGAAAGAGCGGGAGATTTAAATTATTATTATACTTATTATTTTTAAGGCAATTAAAACTAAGAGTGCCCTTAACCAAAAACAGTGATATAAATGGAGATACCTACTCAAATTTTTTATATTATCATGATACTAAAGGATATAAATACAGCATTTATAATCCTTTTACACCTTTTTATTCAAAGTCTTACACGCTAATATAAAATTTGACTATCTCCATTTATTTCACTATTTTTGGTTAAGGGCACTCTTAATTTTAATTTTCCTTTTTTTATGGGAAAACGATTAAATGGGAAGAATTGAATGGGAATGGAAAGAATGACCAATTATTGTATTTTGTATTAATTTATAATACCCCTATTCTACTAAATATCTAGCTACATTGTACTAGGTTAAATAGCTACATTGTACTAGTTATATACATATTTACAGTTTTATGATGGCTATTATTTCTTTTCATCGTGCTATCAATTGATTCGCTCCGACTTGAGTACTATACCTCGAGATGCCTCCAGGAATTATTTACCTTTACAGGCCTAGAATATGAAGATTCACAGTAGAATTTTTGGTTTTACTGCCTATTAGAAACAAACCTACCCCCTACATCAAGGGACATACAATTATGCCTTGTTCTCGGCCATGATATTCCTTCCATTCTATATCCAACATCCAACTTAGCAGACCTTCTGGTTCACAACAGGGCCTAGACTGGTCGGATGATATTTTAACAGAATAGCCCTTGATATCTCTTTCACACTTTCATTTAATAATTAAATAGGAGGGCTGGATGGTATAATTTCTAGAAAGAATAGCCAGTGAAATAAAAACTTAGGCATGGACATTACCTTTCTTACCTTTGTCTGCTATTTTTAATAAAAAACAACTGTTTAGTTTGCAGAAAATAAAATTAACAATCAAAAATTTCTTAAAAAATGATCAAGCCTTGTACTACGCCGCGTGCCGCTTTTTGAACAAACAACAAACAAAAGAATGAGGTTAGAGGCGTTGCCAATGTCAATTTTCTAAACTACCCAAAAATCTAAATAAAATTCGCCAATTTGGGGAGAAAAATGTCCCGATTCACCAAAAATTCCCCATATGATTATTTTAACAAAAAAAAAATAATTTTAATAAAAATACAATATTTATTATATATATGTTAGAGAGATTAAACTGTAAATTACCTCCTTGTTTTTTAATCCCTTCCCTAGTAGTCATTAAATAATTTGAGGTCACTAAATTTTCTTTCAACTGAAGCATTTGCAAAGGGAAGCACAAGTAAAAAGCAGATTATAATTTTTAAGTTGGGAAAGATATATCGTCTCGCTCCGTTTTTAAAGCTAAAAATTTTACGCCATTTTCAATCAGCAATAAAATGTTGAAACTCCCCTTATTTTCGCCCCCTATTGCTAAAATCCCCACAAAACTCCCAATCGGCTCCAGATTCCCCAAAATTTGGGGAATTCCCCACAAATTGGCAACGCTGGAGGTTAGCGTGTTCTTTCTGAATATGCTAAGACTAACGGACTAGTGTCGAAACACAGATAGCTAGATGGACGTATTTCGGCACTTGCGTCGATGCGCTACAGGTACATTTGCCTGCGCGTCGTATGTCTTCTGGCAGTCTTTTAATTTTTCTGTTTGTCTATGCTCCATCCGTAACCTGGAATGGGTGTCCTCCAACGGTCTAAAGGCCCCCACAGACTACGATCTTTTTCATCCATTCACATCGCTGCGAGTCTAATCGACGTGCCAAACCGACAGTGTGTGGCATAAAACCGTCGGATGGAATCGTCGGTTTAAATATCAGACGAAGCTTGATTTTGGACACGCCGAATCGAACGGTTTGCGCCAAACCGATGTGTGGGGGTCCCGATGTAACTTGACGGTTTCTTTTCAGTAGCGTGTATGCTTTTAATCGCCTTTGTTGTTGTTGTTCCTGTTCAGTTGAGTCTTCGTTAGAAAATATGGACCAAAAATCGATTAATAAACAATTTTTAATAGAATTTATTGAATTGTATCGAAAGTTTCCTTGTTTATGGAAGATTAAATCTGAAGAATATCGTAATAAAAACAAGAGAAACCACGCGTATAAGGAATTATTGAAAAAGATGAAAGAAAATGACAGCAATGCAACTATACAAACTGTGAAAAATAAAATAAACGCGATGCGGGGAACATTTCGTAAAGAGTTGAAGAAGATTAAAGACTCGCAAAGGTCTGGGACTGGAGAAGACGAAGTCTATAAGCCACATCTATGGTATTTCGACTATTTGCTCTTTATAGATTTTTTCTTTTTTTGCTGTGGCCGCTGCCACTGCTAATAATTACGTACGGTTCATCGTGTTGTTTGAAATAAACTGCTAGCTGAGCGCATAGTCTATGGGCACTATAGTTCGGCGATGCAGCACGACGTTTCAACTCGCCACGATACGAATGGACGCAAAAGATCGTAGTGTGTGGGGGGCTTAAGACACTCGAAAAAGTTTCTCAGGACTTACGACCGAGAAAAATCAAAGGTTTTCCTTGATTTAAGTCAAAACAATCTTCGGATTGTCAAGGGGTTTCTAACAGACACTGTCTCTTCAACGAACATTTCAGTAGACTGAAGCTGCGAAAAAACAGCGAATGCAGATTCGGTGGGGAAAATGGGGAAACACCAGAACACCTTATCACTGAGTGCGCTGAGGCGACGACCATTCGTGCTGTGGAGCCGTCTTTGTTAAAGCCCTGAGATTGTATGATGAGTTATAACTCAAGAAAAGGGAACACACAATAGATCTGTAATGTCGCGGTGATTAACTCCCCTCCTAAACATTCTACATTCTATCTATGTTGCCATATTATGAAGATATTATGTTTTTTAACTAAAAATTAAAAAAAAAATTAAATTTTTTTTAAAAAATTCTAAATTTTGAAAAAAAAAATCGAAAAAAAAACTCTAGACGTATTTCTAATGTCGAAAAATACTACCCCTAAAAGTGTTTGCACTTATTTAAGATTCACCCTGTATAATTAATTAATAATACAAATATTAATTAGTATTTTCCAGATTTATTTAGTATGAAAATGAATTTACCACTGATTGCATTAGATATACAAATGGCTCATGCTACTTGTATTTTGTTTCCTTTTTTAAATGAAATAATAACATCGACAATTTTAATAATAACTTTATAATATTATAAACAATATCCGGCAGTAGAATAACTATAATAAAAAGACCGAGATAAGTACGGTATGATCGAATAAAAACAGCGTCAGCGATGGCTATGAAATGAAGATCGCTGTCATTTATATGTAAAATTATATGGGAAATGTCATCGATCGTCACTCCCAAGCCAACTGGACGCCGTTTTTTTCGATCCTACGGTACTTATTTATTCAAAAAGACGTTCAAATGACAAAAATGATAAAATATTGAAAAAATGCTTGGGACCTAGCAGTAGATCATACGTCCAACATGTAGCTGCTGGAAGTCTGGATGATGTGGAAAGCAAGGAAAACAACGTGCAAGAATGGTTTGGTTCAAACAAACTACAAAATTACAATTGGGTTTTGGATGGAACCTTTGGTGTTATTTTTGTTTTGTAATTGGTGTTATTTTTGCTGAAGTATCTTTTGGTTGCAGTTTATGAAATTATGATATTGCATACTTTTAAAATTTCCTCCTCTAAATAGCGTCAAAACTGAAACAATTACAGGACTTTATATTATTTAGAGACTTGAGCAGAGAGCCTAAAATAGAACTATTTGTTCGTATGGTGTGAGTTCTCTTTAGATACATACCACCCATATATTTTTAATTTCATTATGTGTTTATATATAAAAAAAATCATCTTAATAGGTATTTATTTACCAAAATTATTTTTTTTTCAGGTGGCTTTTTCTGCAAGGGCTGGTGCGAGGAATGGGTAGTGCTCTACGAAGACTCCACCCTAGCCTGGTTCGCAGACAAGAGCCTCAGTCGTCCCAGAGGATTTGTACGGATCAGTGAAGCACCGGAATTGTTAGCGGTCGGCGAGTACACTAGACAAGTACCCAGGAAACCTAGGTTCCCCAGGGCTTGTCACATAGGACAACTGCTGGCGGTTGGATGCAACACGATGCACGATGTCTGTTGGCTGATGGGACAGTCACCTGCAGAAATTAAGTAAGTTTTCGGCTTAATATTCGTTTCTTTCGTCTTCGTTTATTCTTTGTATTTTTTTTGCTTTTGACGACTGATACCTCCTAAATCTTAAGCATTTTTTGTCGAAGAAGCAGATTTGTTTTACTAGTAAAATACCACTGACAAATTGTTTCCGTTTGGCAACAGAGTAACTTCCAAAAATAATTTTTCTATTTTGTAGATTTTCTTTTAGTGTTGAAAAGCCCAGAATTTTCTTCAAACATTGAAAGATTAATTAAAATTGTGTTTTAGACACAAACTAGCTACGTGTATTATTAACTATACAGGGTGTCCCAGAAATGAGTGCAGATATTTTAAGGGGTGGTAGATCTGGTCAAAACAAACATATTTTCTCTTTACCATTTTTAAATTAAATTGAAAATAACCGAGTTATTTAACTTTGAAAATTTAAAAAAATAATCGCAACATTTTGAGAACCGCCGGCAGATATCGCCAACTACATCCAATTACTCGGATCAAGCCCGGATTTCAGTTAATTCGACGCACTGTGTTGCCATAGGGACAAGAAAGTATATGTTAAAAGTAAGTCATAAAATCACAACACACGTGAGGAGTGAGATGCATTACATTTTTAAGATTGTGATATTATTACATAAAATAAATTAAAAGTTAAATGTTTAATAATGTGTTAAAAAAGTTAAATTAAAAACTTACCCAACATTAAAAAAGATACTTATGACAGATCGATGTAACTGTGACAGTTCTCTTTTTCGATATACACTTAACTAAAATACACTTCACTGTGCTGCTTTACTTGTACATGCTATTATAATAACTACTAAAATAACAGTCCCCATTTTTAACACATTATTTTCATATAGGCTTCATCACAATTTGAACCACTGATTTACAAAACACCTTGAAAAGCACACATTACTTTGAATATCTTTCTGAATGAATAAATGTTGAGAATTATTGTCTCTTACCGCCACTTTCCGAACTACTTTCAATCTAAGAAAATACATGTTTCACTCAACAATTTTAAATACGTATCTTGTTTTTTCACTATTTTTTCTATGTATTTCAACAATTCCATCGACAGCGCAACCGTCGCGTCGGCCGTCGGCCAAGAGAGCGGCGCATCACTGGTAATAGAAAAGAAAACAAACAAAACAAAAATGAACTTATTATTCGTTGGGCTGTTTTCTAAATTTCTTGAATTGAATTCTAAATTACGATAAACATTTTAGGAATTTCTTTTTGTGACCTGATTGTGAATAATATGAATCATTTTATTAAATTTATTCCAAAATAAAGTTATTTTGCAGCATAACAAAGATTTTCGTAAACGTCATAAACGTAATGTTTTAGTTAATTTTCGGTGGTTTTGTTAAGTTTTCATTGAAAGGGTAAGTACTAAAAATAATTAATGTGTTTTTTTTCTATAATTATTAATAATGAGCACTGATAAAAGATTAAATTTAACATTCCTAATTTTTTGAGTAGAAATTTGTCTATGAATTTATAAATGTAGAACTATGTTCCGCCAAACTATGTAGAATGTGGATAACATAGGAGGTTGCAACACTGCAAGGTTTAGATACACCGTAGGGAAATCTCAGGTGAATAAACAAGTGGCACTAAAAAGTTTTTTCAAATATCCCGGAAAATGTCAAGAAAAATTTTAAATTTTCAACATAGGCGTGTTTCTGGGGTTGAACTACACTACCAGTTAAAATATTTGCACTTATTTCTGGGACACCCTGTATATTAATAATAAATTCAACGAGCATATAATGGTGGCTGTTATTCACGCGGATGAAGTTATATGATAAATCATCCAAGTGAATAACAGCTATTATATGCGAGTAGAATACTATACTTTATCCAGAATTATAAAAAAATTTAGTATAACGAGTAAGTAACATGGAAACAAAACATTGAAATTTTCTTTAAGTAGGTAGATAACTAATTTAGCTTTAACTAATTAAAACAAAAATTATTTATTTACATTAATGAGCTTTAACTAATTAAAACAAAAATTATTTATTTACATTAATGGTAATGTTTGACAGCTCTTGTTTGGAGTTTGGATCGAGATATCCGTGGAAGCGGTGAATAATGAAACCATTATTCACTAATGAATAATGAATATTATTATTATTTCATAAACTCATGTATAATAATCAAATTATAGAGGAGTCGTTGATAAAATATATTTACTCCATAATATTCTATAGCTTAATGAGTACATAATAAAAGTTGTAAATTATAATGTAGGCTCTAACGAACTTCACTTTATGATGCAATTTACAGCATTATGTAGGTTGAATTATAAACTTGCGACTACGCCTAGAGTTTGTTTGCATTATAGATATTTTTTTAAAGGAAAATATCACGTTATAATTCAGAATTTAAACAGAAAACCTAGTTCATTAACGACAGAACTGTTTAGCTGTGGGTATATAACCCGAGGCAAAGGAGAGATAGAAACAATCGGTCGACGTGTACAGTTACCGCGCTAAATTCAAAATAAATTCCTTTTAGATAAATAGTAAATAAGTTGTAAATAGTTCTTTAAGTAGTTTTATCGTTATTGTTTTGTTACTTAGTGTAAAATAAATTGTGTTTAAATAAATTAGACTTTCTATCCACACGGAAGCGACGAAAAGCGTAACACTATATTGCCATTCTATTCAAAATATAATTTTCTATCGAATAAGGTATAAAAAAGTATATAAAATTACCGACGGTACCATTTAATAATCAAAAGTTGTAGTCATTCCGGTGAAACAGAAATTCATCATCATCATCATTCCCAGCCCATTCAACCATTTCCAATTATGGTGTGGCCTCCTCACATGTTTAGATACTCTCTTTGTAGTTGGGCCCATTGTTGTCTATTGTTGGCTATGCGGGCCCAAGTTATCCCTGCTAATTTCCTAATATCATGGTCCCATCTCAGGTTTGATCTTCCTCTAGTTAACTAAACTAACTGAATACGTCAATCAGTCCCAATTTTTGTCATATACTAAATTTCGTTTTTTATCTGAAATAATAAAAAAGTTACAGGGGGTTAGCCACTTTCAAAAAACACCCGGTATATGGCTGCAAATAAAAGATAAACAATAAAAAACCACAGATTCTGAATAAAACAAACAAGCAAGTTTAAAACTGTCTGAATATTTGACGTCGTATATCCTAAAACTTTTCCGCCTGTGGTCGGAATGTGGTCAATTCCCCAATGCTTACATTTCACCAGAGATCACTAAAGAAATAGACGAGGAGTGACGTGGGGCCCCTAGTCGATCCCTTCTCGATAATAAATCAATTTAAATGATTCAGGAACTTTAGTCGTTGACCTATATTTTACTATTCTGATGTATCCCTCCTTCGTAAATGTTAGTGTACGAATTCAAATATATGCGATGTTCGATCAATAACTGCATATTATGCACTGACCGGCACACCAAAAACGGACGCACAGTGCTTCGTTCCATGGACAAAAATCGAAAAAAAAGTTAAAATTTACTAATATCTGAATATGTAATTTTATACTTATAGCAATGTTCAACCATCCTATATATTATTTTTCATAAACAGCGTTTTTTGTTAGCAAATATTTTCACTAAAAATAAATTTTGCGATCATTATCTTATATTAGTAAAAAGAATAACATTCATAGTAGTTCTGTATATGGAGTTAAACGGTATGCACTTAATTGAAAGCCACTATGGATATTGTTAAACAAGGTATGTACTTTAAATTTATTTCTAAACAAGTTCGTTATTGTTTAGTTTTTATTTATTTTTTAAGATGATTCTTAAATGGGTATAAAAATTTTACGTTTTCAAACTTCAAAAGTCATTAAAAAAAAAAACATATCAAAACATATCGTATTTATTGAATATTTTGTTGCCATATTCATACACTTTTAATTTTTGTATAGTTCACCTGCGTCCGCTTGCGACGAACTTTATTTTTAATACTTTTCAGATGGAGTAAAATTGATAAGCAATGCCGATCTGGTTAATACTTGGCTTAATCATAAGGACAAGAACTCAAAATTATTTATATTTCAAAAAATGTGTTCTTTATTAGATATTGATGAACCTTCCAGTCCAATTTGATAACCACTTGTGCCTGAGCCCACTATGTTGGAGCGAAATGTGGCATAAAAAATGTTTCCTTCTTTCAATTTATTATAAAACCTCATACCCAAGAAAACGAAAAAATAATATATGGATATGGTCTATTAAAGAGGTAACTATTAACATCCGAACCCCTCATACCAACAAAAAGAACAGTAACAACGCGAAAAAGTAACATATTAGAAAATGATGTCCAGAAATATCTTATATGTGAGAATATTTCATCTACCTGTGATTTGGATACTATAAATTTGGAAGGTTCTGTCAGCAATGATTCTTCTGAATCAGAGTAGTTACGATCTATGCATTTTGTTGTCTTAAAGTAAATTTATAGTATCTTAAGTTTTTTTTTTAATTAAATATATCATTAATGTTTCTTTTTCATTAAAGAAAAACATTTTTATCTTATATTAGGTTTATATTGTAGGAATCATGTTCTAATGTTATGCGAATTTTTTTATCACAGGGATTTATTTAATACTTACACCGTTTTCATACTATAAATTATTATTTCCTTAGATGGAACACAGCTCCAACATTTTTATTATTTATAAGATTTTTTTTCATAAACGTGGGACTAAGAACATCATCATTTAGTACAATGAGAGTACTCATCATTTGTGTCAAATAAACCTAGTTTGAATAAATTGCCTACAATAAAAGAGAAGTTTTGCATTTTTGTCCTCTAGAGCCATATGTTCGAAGCACTGTGGGACGCCTCAAAATTTTCATGTGTTTTAATTAAAATCCATTATATTTTGTTCTACGATGCCGATTTTGATGATTTTTTAAGAAATGTTTTGCTGAAGTATTGGACTTTTTAGGCTTCTTTCAAGTAAAAAAATTAAAATCCCCAACGATTTATACGAG